TTTGTTTTCTTTAATTCCCAGTTATTATGCATCAGGCACTGGGACAACGGTCAGGACAATGCAATGTGTCAGGATGGTGTGTGTGTTAATGAGTGTGTGTTAGGAACCTGCAGGGTTTCAGTGGGACAGAACAGCACTGTGGTGCCTGCAGCCAGACGGACCTCACCAGCCAGCTACGTGTCCTGCTGGGACTGTGTGCAAACCCTGTTCACCTTTTCACTAAGTGTAGACAGTGTGCCACACGAGGCACGTCTGGCCTGAGGGGAGGAGTGTTCACTGTCAATGTAATTAGCCTTTAAAGGTCCCTTCCTCTTGCTGCGGCCCAGAAAAGAACACTCAGTACCCTACAGACCTCTGCTGTGGCTCATAACTCAAAGAGGAAAATTATCAGTGAACTTGTGTCGTTATTTATTTTTTTTGTTACATATTTTCACCAACCACTATTGTTCTAGAGATGATGATATTGATCCTAAACTCAGAGGAAGAGTTAATTCAGAAATAAAGTTATTGTTCCAATCAAACTCACATCGTAACCATCACACATTCAATCTTTTTTTTTTTTTTTTTGCTGCAAAAACACAAAACTTTCTAAGTATTGTTTGTCCAGTTTCATGTGCAAATATTTTACAAGATTTGAAATAAGACCAAACTAACTTACAGGTGACTTTTTTCAGCAAGATATAGGAGCTCATTTTAAGTCAATAATTTCTTTACATTGATTAAAAAAGTTCTGGTTCCACAAGGAGATGATTTCCGCTCCAAAAATATGAATGTCCATGAATATGGCAAATTATTATTAATGAGAGGAATGATGACTCATGTTGGGGGTTCACCTTCCATCAGGATAGTAATCGTAGTCACAGCGGAAGCTACAATGAGACGGTTTAGATCAAAGTTCAAACACGTGTTCAAGAACAAAATCTCAGTCAAATTGTGATGTAATGTTTTGTATTTATGATGTTGATCTTAATGTTCTGTTCCCAACATTCAGAGAATGTCGGCTGCTGATTCTTTGTCATGTATGTGTTGTTATAAAAGCGGTTCTTGCATCGCTGTCAGTTCTGACTGACTCTCTCTTATCTATATAGTGCAGTTCAACAAGATTGTGCCGCTCAAGAAACATAAAAGGCATTAAAGGAAAGTCCTTGATAAAAAAAAAAATTATCTGTTTAATTTGGTCAATCAAATGCAACGCAAGCAGGAAATTCTTTAGATTAGGCTGGAGGGAAGCTGGATTTCCTTTCATCTTCAGATGGACCCAATGTGACCTGGTGTACTGCAACTGTACAAACTTTACATCTACTATTTGGATTTTAGAGAATTAAAGCAGGTTACAGTAAAAATCAGCTTTATGATGTCATTGTGATAATGTATGTAGAATAGATGAATGTAATGTAGACACATTAAAATTAATTTTTCAAGGCATTCAAAGATCTCTCATGGGAACATAAACACGCCTTTGCTACTCTGTATTTAAAGCAAGTAAGGCTTGTTCTTGTCTATCATCGTACTTCCCACAAAATATGTAGTTTCTTCATTTCTTGATCTCTTTTTGAAAGTTGGATGGATGGAAAGAGGGAGGGAAGGAGGGAGGGAGGGAAGGATGGATGGATGGATGGATGGATGGATGGATGGATGGATGGATGGATGGATGGATGGATGGATGGATGGATGGATGGATGGATGGATGGATGGATGGATGGATGGATGGATGGATGGATGGATGGATGGATGGATGGATGGATGGATTTTTGGACATTCAGAAGTCTTTTTCACTGATACTCAATAATTACCTTGACGGTCCAGGAAAATCCATAAAACTGATCTCCCAGATGGGCAGCAATGTTAGCAGCAATTTCATCACACATGCGAACAGATTTGATGCAACGTGACGATTGCTGCCAGATTTCCTTTGGAGGTAACCTCTGTGGTTCAGCACATATGCTGCTGTTCTACAACAGCCAGTCTAATTAGCTGTAGACCTGTTGCTGCAAATTAAGCAAGCTGGTTATAGTGGATTTTTACCCTTTCTGCTGAACTCTGTAACAGGATGTTGCTGATTTGTTTCTCTGAATGAAGCCTATTGGAATGGGGAAAAGTCTCAACAAGGCAGGCTGAGTGTTTCCAAAAGTACAACATCTGGAAGACATTGCTGCTACTGCTGCTATATTTATCAATATCCTTTGCTTATCTACCTTCTAAACATAGAGGGCATAGATGATTACAATGAAATTTCACCCTTCGCCCCCCAAAAGAGAAAAATAAAATCAACTGGGCTCACAAATCGTTCAACCAGACACAAACTACACACTTATTTTGTTTATTTCATACTTTAGGTTGCTACAAAACAAACTACAAACCATCTTTTCGTTCATCCATACTGCCCCCCCAACCCCCCTACGGGGCACACTCCACTGACTTAATCAATTTTTCAGAGCACATTGGTTTGCACATATGCTGTGGTTAGTCGTGGAACTTTCTGGTGAGTGCATGTGCGTGGGCGTGTGCGTGTGTGTGTGTGTGTGTGTGTGTGTGTGTGTGTGTGTGTGTGTGTGTGTGTGTGTGTGTGTGGTGTGTGGGGTGTGTGTGTGTGTGTGTGTGTGTGTGTGTGTGTGTTAGCAGCCGGCGTCACGCAGTTTGGATGCACGGCCCTGCTGTGATGCAGCTCGCCCTCTCGCAGCCGCTCACTCCTCGCTGCTGCTGCTGTTGTGTGTTTAAACCCTACAGCTGTGTTGACACGACAGGCACACCATGGAACAATGAGTTCAAAGGTCAAGAAGGCAAAACGTACAACAACAGATTGAGCGAGTGTGCATGTTGAACAAGTGTAATGTTGCCTGTGATTTTTCAAATGCTGGGAGGTTCCACCTAAAGGCGTGCTTTAAAATTACTACCCGCTATTTATAGCTGCAGCAGAACTCATTTCTCTGTTTCCCTGGTAACTCCTCTGTGGGAAGCTTCTATTTTTATAACCACTACTCCATATTTAATCATTTATGCTTTGCAGGGTGACTGGCGATCCAGTTTCCTGTGGAGGAAGCGGAAGGGGAGTGGGTGAGTGGAGAGGAGTTGGGATTAGAGGGATGCGTGGTCTCGTCTGCTCTCTGTAGTTGGCCCTGCATTTTCCCATGTTTCATCTGATTTGCATTTCAGCCGGTCGCCCCCTCATCCCCCTCCTCCATGACATCCGGCATTAGAGCTCAAAGCAAGCACCACATGTCACCACGCTGCGTCCCGCAGTTTTCTTCATTTGTTCCAAGAACTTGAGCTTCAAGTGATCAGAACTGAGCCACTCTCAGTTTCTAATCCATTGCTTAACTGTGTACCATGTCCCACTGTAACACTAACAATACTTTGTTCTGTTCCTCTTGCATGAGCCTTCAAAGTTGTTCCCTAGAGGTTAATGCAAAGGAACAACTTTGCATTGTCTCATATGTTCCAGGAAGCAGTTGGAACATACTTCCTGGGCCTTACCTTTCTCGGCCCTACAGACTGGAGACATCAGACTTTTGCTCAAGTTCTGGTTCCGCTCTGAGTTCTGCTCTGCAGTTGTCTGGAATGACGGGTTGAATCAAGCAACTGTGCAGCCTCTCCTGCTTGCAGTACAGGCTTTGACGTAATGAGCCGGTAAAGACACACCACTGCATCCTGGAAGAGGGAATTGTGAAACAGAAGTCTGTTAGGTTGGGTCAGAGCTTCTACGCATATTGACTCAACTCAACATTAAGTCAACAGTCATTTCTCAGAAGTTGCATGCAGTGAGATAAAAAATCCATTCCGCTTCAACAAATGAGCAGCTTTATGTCTGACGTAAAGCTGTTGGCTTTTTATTCAACAGTCTGTGAATGGGTGAATGAATTTGGGGTCATCTGAACTTGATAAACCACTGTACAAGTACTGACCATGTAGTATTTTATTATTATATGTATTAATTGTCTGTTTCTCTCTGCCTGAAACACTTATTTTATTGCAGAAGAATAAACCAGTGGTACTTTCTGTTTCTAATCAACTTCTTTGTTTTATATCAATCTGTTCACCAAAATCAGTTTTCTGCTCTCAGCGTCATATTGTTTCTTACAGGATGTTCTTGTTTACACCAGGGACTGATAGTGCGACCTTAACTGCACTGGCACTCTGCACATGGGACACACTGCACATGGGACACTGCACAAGGGACATGCTGCACATGGGACTCTGCACATGGGACACACTGCATATGGGACACTGCACATGGGACATGCTGCACATGGGACACTGCACATGGGACACTGCACATGGGACACACTGCACATGGGACATGCTGCACATGGGACACTGCACATGGGACACTGCACATGGGACATGCTGCACATGGGACACTGCACATGGGACATGCTGCACATGGGACACACTGCACATGGGACACGCTGCACATGGGACACTGCACATGGGACATGCTGCACATGGGACACTGCACATGGGACATGCTGCACATGGGACACACTGCACATGGGACACGCTGCACATGGGACACTGCACATGGGACATGCTGCACATGGGACATGCTGCACATGGGACATGCTGCACATGGGACACACTGCACATGGGACACTCTGCACATGGGACACGCTGCACATGGGACGAAGTAATGCAAGTAATGCATTACTTGCATTACTGTCAAGTAAAGCAAAGAAGAAGACCACGGTTACTAAATGAGTTGGAATGTTTGCTAGAAGATAACGCTGATGTGTTATCTTCTAGCAAACATTTTTTGTTTTGCTGGCCTAGTTGCTGCTTTTATTGTCTTTCTAATAAAGCACCTGGAGCCACGGCTGCATTTTTTTTCCCCAGCAATTTGACCTTTTGTTGTTTCTTTAATCCTCCCAGGAACATCATGCTGTCAGTCAATGTTTAAATAGCCTAATTGCGCAGTGGCTTTGTTGGCTCACCCCATGTCAATATCATCTGTATGCCTTGTCTAATTAATGTCCAGTTAACAAGTATATCTCTCTGCACCACAGGTTGGAGCAGAGTCATCGTCTGAAAGCGGAGATGTCTTCCAAAACGGCGAGCTCCAGTAGCGTCGCGCAGGCCAGGCGGACGGTGCAGCAGCTGAGGAGGGAAGCTCGCATCGACAGGATAAAAGTGGGTTCATATTGGGAATTAGTCACACATATCTGCTCTATCCTCTTAGGACACAAGGTGTCTTTTTTTTCTACACATAATCAGAAGTGTTTAGGATTTTTTTGTATTTCTGTGTTCTCTTCTCCCTACTTCACATTTAGTCTCTACTTTTCATTGGGTCGGTCAAATAAAGTCCCAAAAAGCAACTCTGGAGTTGGAATGTAACAAAATGTGAAAAGGCTCAGTGTGAATGATTTTTTAAGGTGGTGTGGACTGATTGGTGTGTTTTTGCAGGTGTCCAAGGCTTCATCAGACCTGATGCGCTACTGTGGAGAGCATGCTAAGAACGACCCTCTCCTTATGGGCATCCCAACCTCAGAGAACCCCTTCAAAGAAAAGAAGCCTTGCACTGTTTTGTAGCCGATTGCCCAAACTGTTGCTTTTCTAGACTCTTACATAACATGGCTGTTAGTAGTTTGAGCAAACTTATCTAAAAGCCTCGGTGGTAGTTGACTTTTTTTTCACATTTACCATTTTTTTTCCCCAGATTGTAAGTTGCAGGTTGTTTTTTTCATAGTTTGCCTGATTCTGCATCTTATAGACCGCTGTGACTTGTGCATGATTTTTCTTTTCTCTTTTATTTCTCTTCTTGTATTTTTTGACTGATGTGTTAAATGTTAATTCATACTGACGGACATGAACCATGGATTAAACAACACAGTTCGTAGCTGCGAGGAAGCGAAGTTGACCAGACCTGGAGGAATGAGTGTGCTGCCTCAACAACATGTTCAGAGTCCTGTGAATGGTGGAGTTACATCTCTTGCCAAGGAGATGAACATATGACTTTGCAGGCGGGTCTTCTTGGGGCAACAGCTTCATTGAAATTGACCCTGATGAATAATTACCACATCATACCAAAACAAGACCCTTAACTCGTTGGTCAATCAGATAGAAAAGCCTTTACCTCTTAATTTCATCATGCCTGCTTGAGGAAGGAGAGAGTTTGTGCTCTACTGATAAGGACCATTCAAGATAATGACGTCCTGTCAGTGGACCAACAGGCTGCTCCCCGTTACTGCATGACTTATGGAGACGATGAAGCTCTGTTGCTGGTGATTGTCGGCTGTTGCCTCAGGGACTAACAATCACAAGTAGAGATCATGCTTGGTGTTGTCCATTTATAGGTCGCTCCAAATAGCAGTGTCCATGTGTGTTCCATAGAGAATGTGGATTCATTCCGTAGTTTATAGATTTGCAAAAGAAAAAAAAGTTTCCCAACTCAACATGTTCCACGATGGGCAGATGTTGAATCGTCAAAAGGATAAAAGAGAGCAGATTTCCTGCAATACCCTCAGTCTTCTGCTTTCTGTTGAAAGTCTTGCCGTGTTGCAGCCTATAAGAAGCACAGCCACACTCTTTTTAAAATTGTTTTTCTTTTGTTACTATTCATTATGTCCTAAAGCAAAACACAACCCTGCTGGGTATTTTGAATAAAAAATGTGGTTCTGATTTTTGTTTCCAGCAGCATATTCCTATTTATGGGAGTATTCCTGCCATTATTTTGGCTCTTTTCTTTGATACATTTTAAATCTCCTTTGTGATCTCTTCACTGGTGGGTGACTGGACTAATAAAACTGGATTTGAGATGACCGTTATACTTAGAGACATGCTCTTAATCTCCTTAAATGTTTCAATTAATCTTTCATTTGTTTGCTGTTACAGTTTTACATTTGCCAGAGTCTTATTCCTGAAGCCAGACAGATAAATGTTTTAGCCACATAAGTGCTTTAGGCTAATACTGTTTGCTTTTCACAGTGTAATGGATTATTGCTTATTTGTGTCAATAAACAGTGCAGTGAAGAAGTAATTGCTCCATTATGGATTTCTCCTGTTTTTTTTTTCTTTTTGTTTTGTCATGCTTAAAGTATTCATGTCATCAAGTTTTAAAATTAGACAAAAATAATGTGGGAGAACACAGAAATGTGTTGTCAAAAGATGATTTTAGTTATTCAGGGTTATCTGTTTAAAACAACCTGTCCATTGAGTTAAACTTGCTTGAAAAGCTGAAGTTGCCTGAAAGATCTGGGAGAAAAACACTGATTCTGTGAGCTCAAATTTTTGGAAGGTACTTCTTGAGTAAACAATTTTGGAGAAAAAGAAAATCTGCTCATCTGTTCGTGATCTTAAGTGGCTGAAGTTGCCGTGGCTCCGTGGTAAATTAATCATCACCAAAGCAAGTCTACCTCTAAATGGCTTTGAAAAATGATTCGATTTTGGACGAGTCTAGCCAAAGTGGGGACAATAGTTCAGTGGAGATAGTGTGGAATGATTAACAAGGCCATTAGAAAAAGTGATTGAATTAAGAGTGTTGTAAAGAACAGCTGAGCAGACTTTCACCACAGCTTATAGTTTTTGTAAATACTGAAGGCAGGTGTTGCTGCCCAACGTGGCACACTAAAGATTTGGAGAACTTCAAAATACACATTTTGACTTTTTAGGATACCTTTGTCTTATGCTGAAGTATTTTTTATAATATGAACTGTTCACGTTAGACAAAAAAGAAAGAAAGAAAAAAAAGAAATGAACTATGTGGGTCAAAACTTCTTCATGGCACCATAAATACGTTGTCATCTATCTTTCTTTGTCTGCAGAGTACATGTGTCCATGTATTGTTGCACATGCTCTCTTGGTACTCCGTCTACTTTTCTGGACTGGACTGACTGATTCCGTTACTTTATGATTTTATTAATAACCTAGTTAATTTCATCCAGTCATGTGTCTTTATTTATTTATTTTTTTTTAGCATAATTCCTCATTAGTGTTTGAGACAAATGTATGACCATATAAGTGTGACAGCTGTGTTGGCTTTTTTTTTCTTTTCAATAAAATCCCAGTGGAAGACATTTTTGTTGAATTGGATTGTCTGAAATCAACAGAGCTGTAAAATCACAGCCAAAGGAGGAGTCTGAAAACGTTCTGTTTTAGCAACATAATGTGTCCAACTGCTTTCAACAATCCAGGTGCAATCCAGTCAGTTTTCTAAGATGATGGAGCCCCATGTCACAAGGCTTCAGGGATAAAAGTGGCTCACAGATTGAAGCATGGGACCTGTGGTCAGGAAACTCCCCAAATCTTCTCGAGAAGTGCCTCTGTTGTAAGTTCTCCAGAAGCCGAAGTTGACACATTGTGCAACTTCGGCCAATAATAAGATATGAGTCAGTCATCATCAGACAGGATGTAAATGAGATGCTGATATGCAGCATGCAGGAGCAAATCTCACAAGATAAAGGAGAAAAGATACTGAGTCTAATTGGTCTTTAAAAACTCGATGACGTGCTAATATGAAATTACCGGAGTTGTAAAGTAACATGTTGCATTTACTCAGTTACATTTACTTGATAACGTTTTTGGTGAAAAACATGAACTTTTGGGAGTATTTTTACCAGGCTGTACTTTTGACTTTTACTTGAATAAAATTTTTATGAAGTATTGCTGCTCTGACTTGAGTCACATCTCAATTTTTTTTTTTTTTGCCACTGTGGCAAAATTCACTGAATGAAGACCAAGCTTGCTTTAACCAAGAATTGACCATGCATCTTCAGTTTTATATTGAAAGAAACAAATTTTGATTTTTTTTTTCCATTCTACTTTATTTTTATATATTTATATCTTGATCTTTAAAATGTCTCAATTTCCATATAACTTTCCATGACTTTATATTTTGGCTTGATAATTGATGTTTTGATCAGTGACTCAGTAATTGAGTTGCCTTTCCAGCCTTGAGTAAATACATTGTGAGGTGGTTCTACTCTACTTGAGTACCATTGTTGGATTCTCTGCCCACCTCTGGAAACTACCACACGATTTTAAATGCTTTGGTCAGGCTGCCTCATTATCTTGCTTTCAACTGATTTCTGGAGAGTCCTGCATTTCTGAACTTATTATCATAAAGTCTTCCTTTCACCAAAAAAATAAAATAAAATAAATAAAAAACTCATGGTTTTATTCTAAAAAAAAACTTAAATGATTCAAGTGGAACCTAGTTGGAATGATGAACTTCCTGCTTTTATTGTTAAATTGAATGGAATGTATTAGAAATGAATAAAAAATAAGTTGAAGAGGCAAAAGACTAAAGCGGAGGCTCACCTTTCCTAAATGTACAGCAAGAGCTGCAATAGGATGGATCAGTACGGTCTAGTCCAAGCCTAGAACTGAACCCAATGGAGAATCTGCAGTAGGATCTATAATGACTGTTCAGTCACAACCTCCAACCAACCTGACTGAACTGACCTTGAGCTCACTTTGCAGGAAGTGACATTCAAAGCTTTCAGTCACCAGACAGGTTTCTGTTCTGGCCGCTCCGTGTCTTCAGAGCTCCATCAGGGCTGAAACGTTTCCGCCAGCCTTCCCCTGCAATGCATAATTAAAATGGTGGTGAGGCGGTGAGGAGCCGCAGCTCACTGTGTTCAAACAGGTGGGAGAACCAACAAGGTCAGGCGCACAAACATGTTTGCTCTAATTTCCCATCCCAAGTGTTTATGCGCCCTGAGCCATGCGCTGCTTGTTATGAAATCCCCCTCCGCCCCCCCCTTCCCCTCTTCAGGTGTGAGGTTACACTTACAACCAGGTCAAGCCGTATTCTGTGCCCCACATCGATGCAATCCCTCCTCCAATCAGATGCTGGATGAGATTGGGTGTGTGTGAACTGGATTTCATGCGTTGTTGTGTATGCATGTGGTGGTAAGCTAATAATCCACCGTCTCCAACATCTCACCTACTTCTTCCTCTGTGGCCACTCCTCTGACTAACAGGAAGGCATTCTGTGTGTGTGTGTGTGTGTGCATGTTTTTTCTCTCGTCAGCTTTCGTATGTTGTCTCAGTCAACAAATGCTGGTATTTCTGGAACGACTGTCGTATTTCTCCAGAAGTATCTCAACTCCCAGCCTTCATACTGAAACAGCCTGAACTCTGCAGAGAGGCCTCTTCCACAGAAATGTTGAGAAAGTAATAAACACAAACAAATAAAAAAGACAAAAAAACAAAGTGGTGTTTATGCAAGGTTTTATACCTTCCATCACGTTTCTGCATTTTGAACTTTGCACATCTTATTAAACTGTATCAAACGCTTCCTGCAACCAGAATCTGCAGCCTACAGTCTTCACCCACATTCCTCCTTGGCTCCCTGCGTTCTGACCCGGTTCCTCTAACAGAGGCCCGCTGTCTTCTGCAGACTGACGTCTCTGCACTCCCCAACTCCCCCCCCCCCCCCACACACACACAGCCCACCCCCGCACTCTGCCCCTGGTTGCCAGTGTGTCAGTGGTCAGAGGGGAACACCTCTATTCACTGGGCTTATTTTTAGCCTCAAAACTAAACTACTGTACAGCTCTAGCAATGAGGGACCTGAATAGGCCTGACTCATGTGGCCATTGTCTCGTGACCCTATGTGTGTGTATGTGTGTGCGTAAAAGCTTTGTCCCTCCCCTCTGAGCTACAGGCACTAATAAGTTCTGGTTCTCTCTTTTTACAGCCTCAGAGTCTTCAGAATCAGCTGCCTTTTTTTTTCCTTCCCTCTTTGCTATTTTTATCCAGTCAGCAGTAAATTTAGCTTGAATTGCATTAAAGTCAACTGCTGAAAAGAACATGTTGCCTTCACAGATCCTACACAGATTTACCAACATTAGTTACTTTTGCTCCCTCAGCTTCGCCTTACAAAAGTATTCCAACCCTTTTTTTTTTTTGTTGCAGCCACAATCTTTTCATATAGCCTACTGTAGATTCTGCCATGTTCTGCCCTCAGAAATCTCCTGACTCTTAAAAATCATCTATTTGTGTTTAATCTAATGCCAGCTGTTCTGTGAAGACCCTGCTCTTCTGGAGCCACAGTCTGCTTTTTGGACCTTTTACAATGACCTTTAGTCACTTTAGCTGGAAAGCAAAAGGAGCCAGCTACTGTATTAAATACTAATGTACAAATGCAAGTTTCCACAGTTTTAAATTATTTTCCAGCAGTATTTGCATGGAATTTACAAAAAAGAATTAACCTGAATGACCCAGTAATATGACAACCTGAGGACAATTTCCTAGGTTTTAGGTTAGAATCAACCTGGGTTGGTTGATTGAGTTTTTAAAAAATGTTCATTTAAAAAAATAAAATAAAATAAAATTATATATATATATATATATATATATATATATATATATATATATATATATATATATATATATATTTTTTTTTTTTTTTTATTTTTACTTAAAAAGAAAGTCTTGTGAAATCTATGTTTTTAAACAGTATTTTTCTGAGAGCAAAGTGTCAGTTTGGTTTGTGAAGGCAGGTGAGTTGACCTGCTGACAGGAGGACCGTCAGTCTGGAGGACAGAATCAGACCAAAGCCTTCAGAAAGTCCCCTCTGCAGTTTGCCACAAGTTACAGTATGCAGGCGACAGCCAGTATGAGGAAGAAGGTGGTTCTTCTGGTCACACATTAGAACCAAATGATAAACATGGTGGTGGGAGTATCATGCTGTGGGGATGCTTTACTGTAGAAGGGCCAGGAAGAGAACATGGAGGCAGAATCAGCAGCCAGGTTATTGGTCAACTTGCTGCTCTTTTTCTGTGTTCTACCTGCTTTCTGTTTGTCATTTTAGGTATTTAGGTTAGTTAAAAAGAAACTCAAGACCCGAGACTAACACATTCACGATGATCCAGCAGTTTCCTACTTAAAGTCTAAAGCTGACAGGGCTTGCTGCAAAAAAGAATGGGCAAAATTTGTAATCTAACAGATATAAACTAGGAAACATCCAAATGAAGCTGCAGCAAAATGTTCTGCAAGGTCTAGTTAAAGGACAACTTTTACAAACCTTGACATTCTGCCCAGTTTTGCAACATAAAAGTCATTTAGCGTCTCAAACGTTACACGACTTTTCAGAAAAAGACGACTTGTACTTTCTGATGAGTATCTACAGCTGGAAATGTGTTACAGCATTTTATTCCATTTCTAGCTTTCGAAACAGAGAAAATTATGGATTCAACTTATACTTTTTTTTAAAGGATGAGTTTCCAATATAATGAGAAGGAAAAAAAAAGATCTGAAAACATCAGATTCTGTTCAGACATTCTGTTGTAGAAATGCAACAAGGGGAATAACTGCTTTACTCCAACACTTTATTACATCTATATTCACAAACTTTGGTTCATTCTTTATCAGTTTTAGCCAAATATCCAAGGAGCCACAGGCTGCAGACCCCTGGTACAGACTGATGACCTTTACTGTTAATATGCAAACAAATAAAACCATGCATCCTTTAGCTTCTATCCTACAGTTCTGGTTTGTGTACTACAGAGCAGCGTCTCCTTAGTAACATTCTCATTTAAATGGATATTTACACAGTGTGCATTAGTCTGCATGCTGCAGGGATCGTCAGATACCTGGCTGTTAAAGCGCCAAGCGCTCTGATGCAACGACCTCAAAACAAGGCGTCATAAAAACATGCCCTGCTTCCTCCCAGCACCGCCTATTACTGGAAATCAGTGAGGCAGAACAACCCTGAGAATCTTCTCTGTTTATTTCATTCAGTTTCACATGGCAGACTGCAGCCAAACTATGCACAATAAATTAAAAATCATTAAATTAACAACATTTAAAAAAAAGAAGAAAAAAAAAAGAAAACACGGACAACTCTGAACACGCCGTCCTTAAGATAACAACAGGAGGAGAAAAGTTTCCCTTTTTCTTTCTTTTTTTGGTTTTAAGTTAACAAAGTGACAATACTTTAAATAGCGTTAAATAAAAGCTGAAGAAACAGTTTCTGTTTGGTCGAACTGTCACAGGAACGGTGCCGTCTCTCGGCGTGGTCCGGTTCCTGGAGTGTTTCCAGCTCCCCCCACCCCGCTCCCTTCAGACATGTGCTCCCCATGCCGTGCGCTCACTCTGCTCACATGATGCTGCCGCTTCCTCGTAAAAACACGGCTCCTTTCTCGACACAGAGAGAGAGAGAGGACTGCTGAGTCACTCTTCCTTGATCCTGGAGTTCACCCTGATGAAACATTCCCGTTTCCCGTTGCTCTTTACAATTTTTGCCCCCCTGTTGACTTCCTCCACTGGGTGGTGTGTGAGGGGGGGTGGCAGCAGCAGAAGGAGGAGGAGGAAGAGGAAGGCTTTCCAATTAATGCAGGCGGGTGTTTTTTGGATATTTTTTTCGTCTCCGGACGCGAACGATTCTTGACGATATTCCGAGCGGTTTCATCGGTCCGGCAGGTTGATGACCGGCACCCACTGATCCAGGCAGCGGCAGTCCCTGCAGAATCGGTTCACCTTGCTCAGTGCCGGGTCCTTCCACAGGGCCGACTGTGGGGTCTGCAAGTAGGAGCAAACCAGTTAGATGCATGCTGAGGTTTGTTTTTTGAACACACAATTCAACAGACTTGCTCACAGTTTGGGGTGAGGAATGATGCTTACCGTAACCAACACGCAGTGCACATCCATGGGTTCCCCTCCGGGCTTCACGCCCCCCAGGATCTCGGCCAGACGCCTCATGTTGCCCACTCGCAGTATGTTGATGTCATTCTCGCAGCAGAACGCCTGGATCAAGGTGAAGTGGATCTGCAGAGCCACGTCCTCTTCATCATCCGAAGCCAGCAGGCAGAGCACCACGTTGTCTGGATCCCTGCAGGAAAACCACAAAAAATAAATAAACGAAGGAGTGAGTGATCACCTTCCACCATGGATCTTTAAAAGTGAGCGCGCACACACTCACACATCAGGATGTGATAAACTTACACATTAAGGGACTTTGCAGCCTCGTAGACCCCGACAGTGATGCAGCCCTGAGGCAAGGCGGAGCTCAGGACCTCCTCCAGGGCTTGGGCCACCGAATCCATCCTGGAGGGGAAAGGGGAAACTGGGTTCAATGCTGCCAGCAGGCGCACGGTTAACTTCTTAGTGGTTGCTTAAGTTTGATTGTTGATTTTAATGCGTGGCTGATGTCAGTCCGTGACGTGACGCTGCATGCAGGGTGGAACTGCTTATGCCCGAAGAGACACGCGAACAGAACCAGGCTGTTCCAGCTGTGCTTCCAAAGCCACTTTGAAGCTAATGCTAACTAGCCAAACTGAAGCCGTCGCAAAACAGTTGGTGCAACGTCACAATGTTTAAAAGTGAGAAACTTCGACCTAAAATAAGCAATTTAGAAACTCAAAGATCACGAAATGCAGAAATGTTCGACGTGTAGTAAAAGGAGCTGACCTTTCCACAGAGTTTTCTCCTCCGGTTTCTTCAAAAGTCATATTGCACATCCAGGCGGTTCGGTGTCCGACACAGTCCAGAGTGGATGGAGAGCTGCGGCTGGCAGCGGTGCGTTGCTCGCTGTTTGACGGGTGAACTGAGTGTTCCCCGTAGTGAGACAGCCTGTGAGCCCACAGCTCATTTGCATGGAGGCCTCCCATTGGCTGTTGGTCCGGCAACATGCAAAACACACGGCCAAGTTTCAACCCGCTCAACACGGGACCTGTGTGGAAACAGCGCCCCCCCATGGGAGCAAGACAACAACATGTGATCGTAGGGACCTCGTGGCCTTTAGACCTATGATTGTCATACTTTTACATTCACTTTTCTCACAGATAAGATCCGCAGAAGTCAGATGTTTTGGATAATCACTAACCTCAACTTAAAATGTAATGGCAGCTAAAAGCATCCATTTGCATTATATTATTGAATATGGATTCATTTATTCTGACTGCCACTATCAATTCTACACACACTGCAATATTTGCTTTACATTTAGTATTTAGTGAGCATGTTTCTGCATTGATCAAAAGGGCAAAATATATAAACACCTTTGCTTGTATTTCCTAACAGTTACATATGAGGAGGGTTAAAAAATTAATAAATACATAATTAAATTAATTACATGTACTGAGAAATAATTCAAAGTTTAGTTAAAAGTTTAACTATTTACATGATACACAATTAATTTATATGTCAATAAATCCCTAAAATGAAAAGTTACTGTAGAATATTTTTTTTAATGTTTATATATATGTCCATCAAAGTTGAGCTCCTGGACTTTGTGAAGTCTAACTCAGCGTAAGCCTCGGCCACAGCCCCGCCCCTCAGTGTCAATGTAAACTTATAATGCAAACTAATATAATATCCATATGTTATAAGTTTGCATTTTTGTCATGTAATGACATTTCTAACACATTAATTGCCTATTAAGTTAAGATTGAATTAAACATTTATTTATTTCATGGTTAAATAATGATTTATTTATTTTGTCCCATTTAATCTCTAAGTCTGGTGTCTACATGTAGAAATTGAACACGGTTTGGTTCAAAATGCAGCATAAACATCAACCAGCTTTTGAGTTAGTTTGTTTCAGTTCCTGTTGGCTGAAATACTCCACACTTCTTTTCTTCTATAAATGTGCAAAAAGCTCATCTCCTGGGATTAGGCGAGAAGAAGAACAGGTCGTTTGTTCAAATCAATATTTCTCACTGTCCCTTGAGGGAGCCTAACAATCACATCTCTCTCCTGCAAAGTTTAGCAACAGGATCTAGTCATATGGAATAAACATACTGAAATGTTCCAGCTGTTCGCTTTAATTTATACACTTCCGCCCTCTAGTGGAGAAAAAGTTGAATGGTCTCAAAGCCGCGCAGGTCTGATCTGTTTTGAAGTCAGTTTCCGTTCCTCCCATTCCATGAAACTTTTCCTCTGGCTGACCTGAGACCAGCCCTCTTTGACTGTCCCCAACACAACCTTCCTACCGACAACGTGGCAACAGTCAGAGTTTGCAAGTTGCCCCTTTTCCCCCAACCCAACAACATGAAGCCACTGTCGAGGACCCGGTTTGTGCACATCATGGAGAATGTGAGTGTTTTTTCTATAATCAACCAGAGGATGGATCTCAGCAGGAACAGCAGTCAGGGCGTGTTCCACTGTTTACCTAAAACTCCCAGAGAACACCCATTGGACGCAAAGGATGAAGGGATTTTCATCGTTAGGGCAACCACCTTTGGTCTGCCACACCCTGCTCTCATAATTTCTGATCTTTACAACAAAATAATATTTTTCAAAATGAAAACTTTTTCCTTGAGTTTTGATCCTGTTTCGTTCTCATTCGGACTGTTTCTGCCACTGCTGAATTGCACACGCAAATTCCTGTTTAGGGTCACAGTGTGTGAACTTTCTCCTCTCGTTATCAGACTGACCAGTTATCAGCTCATGTGTGTTTCTGCTGAATGATGTGGCAGCTGTGGGTGTACTTTGCCTTCCTCTGACATGTCTGAGCTGTGAGTACTGCAGCAACACTTCACCCCAATTCTTTTTTGTGAATAGTATATTTTAAAATAAGTCCAACTTTCTAAAACTCACTTTGTTCTACTTACAAGGCGTTAGAGTCTAGAGATGGACCAGAGGGGCCACCAAGTGCCTGATTCTGGCCGCCGCTCCCACAGAAAGAAAGACAAGGAGGATTACTCCAGGTCTGCTCAGCAGGAGTGGGATCTGAACTACCCTGTGCTGGACCAACACCGGGGTCGTCCCGATGCTCGCTACATGAGCCACTTCACCAGCCCACCTGCCAGACTTCAGCCTCCTCCATACTACTCCCAGGAATATGCATATGGATATGGGTGGCAGGAGCATCACAGACCTCAGTCCAGGTCAGTTCTCCGTATAAGTTACTGCAAGCAAACATTGAAAATATACTGAACGTTTTGGTTATTGCAGTGAACTCTTTGTTTCTTGATATTGAGCAACAGTAGAAGGTGGAGGGTGCTAAGCAAATGACTGTTTTTTCTTTATGCCAATAGCAGCATTGTGTGGTGCTGTAAGATCTAAGATTATTACGTTTTTTTTTTTTTGTAGGCATGGCTATGACTACTCCTCTCAACACCACTGGGATTACAGAGACAGCTATGGCTATTATGACTACTACAGAGGCCACCATGCACATCAAGGTATCTTAACGCAAAGCAACTCAAGATATTTAAAGTAGGGAGGGCCAAGCAGTGTTTTTCATGACAGACACCAAACCTGACCTGCTTCTTCATTGACAATAACACCATGTACTTGATCAAGTGTTTCCTGCCTTTTGGATTTATGCTGTTCTGCCTTTTTTTTTTTTTTGCAGCAGCAGCAGCATTTCAAGTGTTTCAGATCATCAAGCTAAATTTAATATTAGGCAAATATAACATGGACACAATGTGGTTTCACATTACCTTACTCCACTGTCTATGAAGTGGTAATGTCCCAGAATGAACCCGACTGGTGCTGGGTCTTTTATGTCACTTTTTGAAACACTTTTATTTCCAGAATTGTTTTAATCGAGTCATGTTAGATGAGTTTAAAGTAGGCTACAATTACATAAAAATACAAACTTTGACTATGCCATTTCAAAGCCTTCATTTTGTTGTTTGAGCCATTTAGATGTGGATATGCTGGTGGTTTTTGAATCACTATTCTGCTGCATAACCCACATGAGCTAAAGATGGCAAATCCATGGTTGGACATTCTCCTTCAGAACTTTCTGCTAGAGAGAAACAGTCATGGTTTCATCACTTAGCACCATCACAATACTCCCACCATGTTTGAGGAGAGATGAGATCCTTTTCTAAAGTGCCATGTTATTCACTCTTCAGACACAGGTTTCAGAAAGTTGCACTTTTTTATATTGGTCCACAGATTATTTTTCTAAAAGTCATGGGAATCATAAGGATGTTTTTGGTAAACATCTTTGACGTTCTTTGTGGTTGGCAGCAGTTTTTACAACTACATTTTTGCCCCGTCTCTTTATTATTGCTGAATCGTGAACAATGACTTATAAAATGACATGTTGTTCTACTTCTTTAGATGGTGTACAGTGGGGTCCCCAAGAATCCTGGCAAACCAATCAGTACCCTGACAGGACCAAGGTCCAGGGACATGGAATGAGCCTCAATTCAGAGGAGCACAGGTGAGCCACAGAACAAATGTTTCATTTAACTGCATCAACAGGGTTTCATCTTGTACAATGGCTCTGTTCAGTTCTTTGGGGCTGCAATAAATCATTTCCAAATTCTTCACACTTCGATGTGACACAGATCCTGAGCTCAACTGAACACCATGCAAACCTGTCATCAGCTGTAGAGAATTTAATTACCTGAAATATAGAAACGGAACAGAACCGAAAATTCCTTTGAACCAATCCGCTACCAACCATCCACTATGCTTTTTTAGTGACCAAGTAATGTTGGTCATTTATGGTGTCATCATGGTGATGCACAACAAGAAGCCACATCCGAGGCAGTGTGCTGGTTGGGACATGTTTTCAGATACCACATTAGGGTTTCTTGTGGTCCAGATGAGAAAAGCTGTGCCATTATCATTTTATACTAGAATAATGATAATGGATTAAAGTCAGATTTTCCTTTTTTCAGATATGACCAGAGGAGGGACATCTCCCAGCGTTACTTCAGTGATTATGAAGCTAACCCTTCCAGAGACAATGAGGAGATTTCCTCTTATCACCCCGGGACTCTAGAGAGTTCCAAAACCTCGGGCCTGTCTTCCAGCAGCTATGAGCTGAGTCAGTACATGAACGGAGCTGATGTCTATGATTCAGACATGCAGCCTGTCCTCAGCTCTGACAGAGGTGAGTGCTCGCATCATCACACCCCTTCAATCCATCACGTCACACCGATTCAAGTAGCCTACGCCCTTTGGTTGCATTTTAAATCTTATTTGTACTTCATTTTTCTATGTATTTAAATTTTGAGTCTTGAGTTCCATGTTCTGCTTCCTACCTGCTTAGAGTACTCATCAGCGCGTCAGACCTCAGTTCCTCTGAAGTATTCAGTCCCTCACGCGGTGGTGAGCTTCGGGCCCGCGGGCCAGCTCATACGGGTCACTCCAGCGCCGTCAGTGCAGGAGAAATCCAGTCCGCTGGAAATCCACAGTTTGGAAGTAAGTTCAGAATGAATCAGTGTTGAAATGCAGGTTATTTTAGTTTGGATTTCTAACGTGGGATACTGAAGAAACATCATCTCTCCATCTGCACAGCTCATACTGAGTGAGACCCAGGAACAGCAGGAGATGAGAAACTTCCCAGGGCCTTTGACTCGGTACTGCTTTGTTACTTGCACGCAAGATGCTGCCTACTGCAGAACATGGTATTAAAAATGAATCTGAAAAATGATTTGCTTTGAAAATGTCTCTGCATGTTTTACTAGGGAAGATTTGCATAAAGTGGATGCAATAGACTTTGCTCATCAAAAGGCAGGAGCCTGCATGAGAGACGGCCAGCTGCCAGATAGGAGCTCTGCTTCCCTCTTGTGGAACCTTCTGATACTTCTCTGCAGACAGAATGGAGTAAGTGTGCGCTTCATAAAACAGTCAAAGCTGAGATTACAATTTCCACACCACCTCACATGTGAATATATATTCTGATATTTCCAGCAAATAGTTGGCTCAGATATCGCTGAGCTTCTGATGCAGGATTCCCATTCAGATGGAAGCTGGAAGCCAGATGTTCCCACACTCATCGACTTCGACGAGCAGCCAGCCGCCGAAGCGCCGCCTGCTGGCGGAGACGACCTGCTCACAGGAGATCCCAGCAGCTCTGGCACAGAGAGACCAGAGAGGGCGCTGCAGAGCTACACTCAGCTGCTGCTGGCTGGAAGGAAGAAGGTTCAGACCTTTTCTTGCCAGCTGTAGTCTGACGTCTAAGTTTTTACTTTTATATTTATTATCATGTTTGACTTGAAGAGAACAGAGTGGTTATCATTTTCGTGATCTTGTCTTTCATTTTTAATGGTAAATAAATGTGGGCTGCCTGCTGTGCAAATCAAAGTTATTTTCAATTATCGAGGAAGCAAGGGTTGCATCTGCTTCATTGGTGTCATTAATGATATTTGGAGCAAACGTCTTACATTTTTCCTAAAATCAGGTTGAAACGTAGCTTCTTTGTGCCACAAAGCCCTTGTTTATCATGAGTCGCCATGCATGGTGAAGTTTTGAAAAATACCTGGAAAGGAAATGAGATCTCTGAACTATTTTGATGTATGTTCTGAATCGTGTGTCTGCACAGTGTTCTACTGTGTCAAGTACAGGTGCTATACTTTTCTGGGGTTTCTTTATCTGTCATGATTCAGTGGCTATCTCAGTGTCTGTGAAGGCCCCAAGTCCTGAGATTCGTAGATTGACCGAATCGAACAGCTATTAAATTATAAGTTTCACCTTCAGTGTCCAACATCAGGCATCCTGAAGTGAGTGCAGCATCTGGATAGCATCATGTGAGTTTTTTTGTAGTTGCATTGATTTTGCTGCAGTGGTGCATGTGTGCGCTGTGCATGGCGGCCTCGTGAAGAACAGTTTTTCGACATGTTAGTTGTATTTCAGGATGGCTTGCGCTCCACTGCTAAATAGGTGGGGAAGTGATTATTGGGAGTGTTATTTTCCTGCAGCATCAAGCTGTGGAAATGAAAGGCTAATACATTCTGTTGAGCTCATTTTACAAGCTACTTCTCAGTGAAACGCAGGTAAAACTGTTGTTTAAGGGTTAAAAGAGGAGCCATGTTGTGATGAATTCCTGAAGGTGGAGTTTCAGAAACAGCAGGAGTTTTTAAAGAGACAAAGACCCAATTACAAAGTCAATTACAAAGCTAAATTTCTTTTCAGTTATATTTAATATATCTATCATTTTTATAACAACAACATTTTACATCACAATGTGCCTGGAAAATATTTGATACTGAGCCTTTAAAGTGTGTTTTATAAACAGAACTGTAATTATTCTTGGCTCTTTGTGTTTCTCTCACTTTTCCCATGTGGTCAGCAGGAGGCCCTGGAGTCTGCCATGTCCAGCGGTCTGTGGGGGCATGCACTTTTTCTGGCCAGCAAGATGGGCAGCAGATCATATACCACAGTACTGAACAGGTGAGAAATACCAAGACCTTTGAAATAGGATAGCTGTTGAAATCAGATTACATTTAAGTGATAATTTGTTCAAAAAGTCTTCCTGTGCCTCAGCTTTAATGTGTCTGCTTTATCACAACAGTAACTGTTGTGTATTTTTATCAGGACTTGGTCCTGGTCCAGACTTTAATGTAGCTAAAGATCACAGGAAAACTGGACGCAGAAAGTCTCATCATTTCTGCCCAGCAGCCAGACTGGTGTCATCCAATTAGAAAAAGGCACAGTTTATTAATAAAACCTTTTTTAAAAATGCTTTAATCTACAAGTATGCACTCATTTTGATATGGCCATTTATGTTGAATCAAACTTTCTCTTCATTTTTCAGGCAGTTAGAATGCACTTGTGTCAGTTTAGAACCAAAATCTTTGATTGATTCTTGTGTTGAGATTTGTTGAGGTTACTTTGGGAACTTTCAGACACCTTCAGTTAATTTCAGAGATTAAGAACACATCCGGGGATGGGAGGCCGTGAAGGGGATACTTTTTTTGTCAAATATTTTGCACTAATTTATTGAACCATTTTTTGAACTTGTAAGATTCATTTAAATTGCAAGAAATTTTTAGTTATTGTTTTGTCTGTTCTTTTCCCCAAGAAATATGTATTTGAAACAATCAAGTCGGAAGTTTGTTCAAGAAACAAACCATGTGTTCGCCACTCACGGCCCTCCAAGGACCATGACAGATTTAATGCAATCTAGTCCACTTTTTCCAGACTATTTTTAAAATCAGCAGTATATTACACAGCAGCATGTGTTGGGTAGCCAGAGGAGAGGGAAGAGGGCCGTCAGATGACCAACATGATTAAGATCTGTGAGTGACAGGAGGGCCAGAGTCAGAGCTGTCAGAGTGAACTGTGTAAACCCTCCACAGTCAGGCAGAAGGGATGCTGTTTAAATAGGTTAGTTCCTGCTTCAGGCTCTGAAAACTGACACCAAGTGCTGCTGCTGGTCTGGGTTTTGATGTGAAATGACACAAAAATGCTGTGTTGGCAGGTTTACAAGCCAGCTAGTAGCAAATGATCCCCTCCAGACTCTCTTCCAGCTTCTGTCTGGGAGAATTCCAGCTGCATCTGCGGTAAAATATTGCAATAAAATGATCACATGTCCCACTCATGGATACTTTATGAAGCCCCAGCAAAGGCATTAATGGTGGTGTTTCTTATCCAGTGCTGCGGGAATGAAAGGTGGGGCGACTGGCGGCCCCATCTGGCCGTGATGCTCTCCAATGAGACAGGAAGTGGCGCCGTACAGCAGAAGGCCATCCTCACCATGGGGGACTCGCTCGGTATAGAAACACTGACTGACAGGTGGTTCTACACAAACACACACACTGATGTGTGGGGTTGCTGTTCTCTTTGCAGCCTCCAGGGGCCTGATGCATGCAGCCCATGTGTGTTACCTGACGGCTGCTGCTTCCTTTGGCCTGTTTCCACAGAAGGCAGACAGACTCGTGCTTCTAGGCAGCAGCCACAGGTGAGCTGTGCTTCAAACTTCCAAGCACATAGTGGGATTTTACAGCATAACCAAATCAAATGACCATTATCTTTAGTTGCTATAAAAAAGCTGCCCAGACCAAATATGACTTAAAGGAAATTTTACTAAATGAAAAAGTGTCTTGAAATTGGGCCTCTGTCTCTTTAAAAACTTCTGCTTTTTCTGAGACTCTGCCTTCAGAAAATCATCACAACATAGCTCCTCTATTAACCCTTTAACAATGTTTTTACCAACGTTGCACCTAGAAGTAACTCCTATAATGAGCTTAACAGATGAGTAGATCCACCAATTGTTTGCTAATTGCTGCTGGCTAGTCTGAAGGAGCTGAATCGGGGAGTCACAGAGGAGGGCTGCTCTCAGATCCTGAGGCTCTGAAGCTTGGAAACTGCAGTTCAGAGAAAGAGCCTTGCCTTAAAGGCAGAGCTAGGTCCATCCAGTTGTTTTGCACAACTGGGTGGAAGTGTGCATATTAAGATATGCACACTTCATGCCATGGGAGATTATAGGATTTCTCAAAAATGAATGAAAAATATCAAGGCAACACTCCAGGTATGTTTTTGATGAGGGAATAACATTATAACAAGTTAATTTCACATCATACTTCCCTTTTAAAAGGGAGAATAAAACAAATTCTCAGTAAGGGGCACCGGAGCATTGAAGCAAAATTGAATGATCTCACCAGATCTTGAATGTCCTTTGGCCTTTGAAGGACCTCCCCTTTCAATTGATGATGGTTGATGTTTTCAAGGGTAAAGAGACTTTTACTTTTTAAACTGCTATATTTCATTCACACACTTCTGTTCTCTCTTTCAGGCAGCCTTTTGGAAACTTTGCATCAAATTCTGCCATCCAGTGTACTGAGCTATATGAGTACGGTCAGACACTCGGAGGAAAGTCATTTTCAATCCCATCATTTCAGGTAGATCACACCTACTTTAACTAGAACTTTAACAAGAATACATTTCAAGTCACCTCAGGTTATTCTGCTATGTCTGATGCTCTGTGATCAGGTGTATAAGTTTCTGTATGCCAGTCGGCTGTTGGACTGTGGGCTTTCGTCCCAGGCCTTCCATTACTGTGAGGTGGTAGGGCAGGCTGTGCTCAGGCAGCAGGAGCCTCACTATGTGCTGATGGAGGAGCTTATCAAGGTATGCACACTTCATGCAATATGGTTTACATGTCTAACTCATCCTATCAATGTCTTGCATATAGTAGTCTGCATCTGCTGTGTGTGTGTGTGTGTGTGTGTGTGTGTGTGTGTGTGTGTGTGTGTGTGTGTGTGTGTGTGTGTGTGTGTGTGTGTGTGTGTTTTCCCCTGCAGCTGTCAGACAGACTGAGGTTCTCTGAGGGTCAGTACAGTGAAACTGGGTTTACTGCAGCAGAACAGGAACCAGAGTGGCTCAAACACCTTCGGACACGACACCAATGCTTACAGGTGACCAGTCCGTTCATTTTATACCATGCTGACCAAGGGTAGGTCTGTGAAGGAAGACCTTAACTCTAAACGTCACAGAAGTCAGATACTGTGAGGAAGGAAAATTTATTACAAGTTTTAAGTCCAATTTGTAATCAGTAGTAGATGGATTGCTGATGTTACTAAGAATGATTTTGGCTTATTAATGTCCATTAATATCTGGGAGGAGGTCCCAGGGAAGACCCAGGACATGCTGGAGGGACTATGTCTCCCAGCTGGCCTGGGAACATCCTGGAATACCCCCGGAAGAGCTGGAACATGTGGTCGGGGAGAGGGAAGGTCATAAGTGCTGCTATCCCCACAACCCAACCCTGGATATGTGGAAGAAAATGGATGGATAGATGGATGGACAATGTCCATTAAAAATGCTTTATTCTTTAAATAGTGATGTTGCCTTTTCTGCCTGTAAAGATTCATGTTTTATGTTTTGTGTTCTTTTTACTTTTTTATATAGTCAATAGTATAGTTTTTGCTTGGGCTGCTGTCTTTAAACATGACATTTGGTGTAGACAAACAGTTTCTACATGCTTCATGATAACAAATAAGCCTTCTAAATTAGTCATCTCCACATATTGAATGACTTGCCAAGGAATTTTGCTCTGAGATTCTCCACATGTCAGGTTGGGATGAATGATGGACCAATGGAGTTTTATTTAGCATCTGATCAAATTTACGATCTGACCACTCAGTGTTATGATCAGATGCCTGAAACACCAGTCACGTCTCCATTAACATATGACCTTCACTTAATAAGTTAAATAATGTATAGTATCATTTTTAGGGTTTGTTACCAGGCTGAAATTCTTCACGGTGCATCTTTAAAGAGCTGCTAAGATAGCTGTATTAAAGGTTTACTCCCTGTTAGACCTCTAAGATGCGCAAATAGTCTGATACTAACATTTATTGTTCTCAGAAGGGGATTTATGATGGCACTAATGTAAATCAAGCAGCTCCTGTGAACCAGGCCCTGGCCTATGAGAACAGCCAACTGGACCCGGGTAAGTTTTTGAGGTTTCCTACTACAGAGCAGATATAAACACTTGAAAAACTAGGCTTGTTCACACTGTCTGGCACTAAATCAGACTGAACGTTTTCTGTGTTAGCCAGAATTATTTCTATGAGCTAAATTCAGAATTTCTATAAATTCACCATTAAATGCATTAGTATTTGGTAGAATTGTCGTTTTAACTGCAACAACCACACAGCAGGATTCTGCAGGTCACTCCAATACTTCACATTTGGGAAGTGTTGAGGTAAACGTTTCCCCTCTTTATTTCAGAAATAACAATGAAATTAATAATCAAACTGATTATTTTAGTTATATCAGACCACAGGAGATGCATTATGTAATTGCCAATAGATTCATAAACATGAAATCATCAAAAAAAGGGTGTCCTTAAAAACTACAAGAGATTTTCTGTAGTAAATACTTATAATTTTCAAATGGTTGTGTAATGTTTACAGCTCCAAATGAATTTTATTTAACAAGGTTCAAAGCATAAATGGCTTTTTGGATTAAAAAGGTTGCAAATGCTTGATTTAAAGTTTCCCAAATTATTTGACAAAACAGTAATCTCACTATATTCAGATTTCCTAACTTGAAGAAAGTGAAAAAATATATATATGTATACATTTCTCTAGTTATTCTGTCATTAAGCAAACTTCTCTTGGAAATCCAAAGTGACCTACAAACGGAAAGGTTTTGTCTGATTTAAATGTCTGTCTTTGTATAACAGATATGAAAACATCTAGTTTGAAATGTATTTCTGACATATTTGGTACAAAAATCCATTTATCTTTTTCTCTGCACAGAATCTGATCTGGATGATTTAAGTTGTCACAACCAGAATCCAGAGCCTGAGTTTCTCTATTTTCAAAGCTCTGAGCATCAGGACAGCCTCATTCATGGAGAGGAAACACAGAAAATTATGTCAAACACTGACACAGAAACACAGCAAAGGTCCAGAACTGTTAGTCGCACTGTAAGTCACTCAGGTTGGTCCATACATGGCAGCTCAGTTCTAACCAGCGCTGCTGTTCTCTGCCTGTTACTCTGTCAAGGCCTCATGCCGATGCTCCCTCCATGCCAACAATAGCAGTTCATGCTCCCTCGGCCCCTGCGGGCCAAAACTTCGGTCATCATTACACGGATGGTGTTGAAGTCAGGAGTTCCATGCCACATTGTCCTCTGAGTAATGTTTCTCTGGCAGCTGATGGTGAGGATCCCCTGCCAAACGTCATTCATTCCTGTCTCTGTTCAGACATTCACATCCTGTGAGCCGTCGGCTCTCTGCTCAACTACTTTGTTTTCATTCCCAGAGGCAGACTGGTCTTCCGGGGCTGGGACGGTGAGAGGATTCTTCGAAGTCATTGTCTATTCAAGACAGCGGAGAAATTGTTGATTTATTTCAGAAACCAACTCTTTGTTTTCTGTTGGAAATGAATAATCAGATGCTTGAGGTTAGCTCCGGTCATAATCAAAACCAGAGGGTCGTCACTGGAGCTGTGGAGGAGCCTGAGGGGCCCAAGGAGGTTCCTAAACAGGTAGGGTGTTTAGAGCTGCTACACCAGCTGTGTTTCCATTACTAAAGTGCCCAAATGTTTGTCTTTATTCTGGACTATATGAGCTGCAATTGCTATGTTTTCATTAAATAAATTTCTTTATTAAAATCACACATTGTTCATGTGATAAATCATTACAGTAACAGATGTAAACACTAACATGGTGAATTAATCATAATTCACCATGAAGCTAGTGCTCGAGATCTATCAACCAATCAGAGGAAACATCAGCGTCTTATTCAGGCATTGGAGCAACAAGCCCTGCCTACATGGGAGCGAGTGCATGTAGTGTTTTTTGGGGAAATTGTAGTTGCCGATTTTGGCCTGTTTCGAACCAAAATCATGCCGAGTGTTAAATTATTCAACATGTATGAACAATACTGAACTTTTTATGAAGTGTGATGCAGTGAGAGCTCTGGTGGAGACAGCTGTTCATTGTCTGACAAAAACAAAAGCAAACTGACATGCTCCTACAACTTCCTGTCATCTTCTTTGTGGTTTTTGCCAGTAGTAACATCCAGTTATTGGTTGTGTGATGGAAAAAAGTGTTTCCATTGTTATTTCGCAAAATACTATTAATTTGATATGGCTGTAACACTTTGTCATAGTGCAAAAAACTTTTTATGAAAATCTTTTTTTTTTGGGGGAGGGGGGGAAGAAATTGCGATGTTTCCATTTGGCAAATTTATTTGTGTAATTTCAAATTGCAAATTTCTATAGTTAATAGAAATGCAGCTCCTGCCAGCTGACAAGAGGCGACATTCAGTCTTTGTTCTGTGCACACAGAGCACCAAGGCTGGGTGGTTCAGCGGCTGGTTCAAATCCAAACCAAAAAATGTCCCGGAAAATACAGAGAAAGACATCCCACCTCAGACGGTGAGACGTCAACAGATGGAACACATAATTGATTTAATCAGTTTGTTAAAATTAGGTTTATATTAATATATTGATCTGTAGGACCAGCTCCCAGCTGCTGGACACCACCCTCCTCCTCCACCTGCTGCTCTCCCTGCTGCCACATGTCCATCATCCCCAGCTGGGATAAATCCTTTCTCAAGGAGAGCAGGTGAGTCATGAGACAAATAAAAAAAATGTTTTCCTGTGTAATTGTGTTGACCAGCTGTTTGTATTAGGACATAAGGTTTCCTGCTGAAACTCTCATCAAATTAAAACCACAATTTTTTATGTATTTAAATTCATTTTGTGGTATATCACAAAAGATCCAATTAGGATCTCACGCCACTCTATTTTTGCTAATATTTTCCATAATATGAGCGAAATTGCGCTCATCGTCTTCCTCTGAGGTTTTAGAAAATTAGGATATTTTATGATAGATCAACAAAAACAATATATGTGATAAGGAGAAAAGGTAAGAAATTCCCTTTATAGGTGTACAAAGTGGACACGTATAAAGTGCCAGCGTAGTCCGCTTTAATCAAAATCTAGTTTGTTTGCCTAGAAAGACTTTTTTTATTTTTGGCTAGGTGTGAATATTTCTGTATGAAAGCAAAAATAGCTTTGATTTGGTCTACCAAACCTTCTCAGTTCAGTTGAAATAATGTCTGGTGCATTTTGACTAAATATGTGGATGCAAGTAAATGCAAAGAAAACAAACCGAAACAAACAAAACATCCAGCGCTAGCGGAGAAATGTCTTGTCTTTTACCAAAGACAAAAGAGAAATTCTGTACCTGCTAAGATCTCTCTATTTTTGCTCACATTTTTCGAAGGATGAAATTGGGCTCTTTGTCTTATTCTGAGGTTTTTGTGTGGTCTCCTTCAGTGGTTCTCGGTGCAGCGCCACCACAGGCAAGTGGTGAAACAGGTTTTCCAAACCGCAGCAGCTGAAAATTCAACAAATGTTACAATTTTGTTCCCAAATTAAAATGATTCTACTGAAATATCAGGTGTGAAAACACCTATAGAAAGCTTGCAGCTGCAGCTGCAGCAGAATGTGGCAGGGAGTCAGGTGCAAAGTAAAAATGGATGCCGCATTTTCCAGCAGGAACAGTCCAGTCACTGGACACCCCTCACTTCTCAGTTAATTTGTGTTGGTAAAAAAGCTGCATGCCATGTTCTTTTTTCTCCTACTTCCTGCTTTCACTGCTCTTTGCAGGTCCCATTACCTGACATCCCAATGAAATGCACTGAGGTTTGTGATTGTGGTTTGTTATGTAAAGCAGTGGGTTTTACCTCTCCCAGTATGCTGTCAGCTTAAACACTGTTCACATCTTCAGTCATGTTTGGAGCGTTTTGACAGAGGAGGTCCAAAGCGTCTAATCCCTCTCATGTCATGCAGCTTTCAGTTCTCTTGCTCCAAAATTTCAACCTGCAGAAGTTCGGCTCTTGCTAACGTCATTTAACCCTTATTTACGTGCTTTTTTGTAAACCTTCATATTTTTCTCACAGGCCTGCAGCCAAGGTAGTAAAAGCTGCATAACTCCATAAAAGGTAAAGCATGAACACATTTTGCTCTACAAATCATCAAGAGTCAGTTTTGATTCTATGTCTTTATGTTTGCAGAATGATTGATTACACTTAAATTGAAATGAGGACTTTGTGCACATATACCACCAGCAGGAAGAACTGTATACTGCTTGCTTGCATAGATGATTCTTTCTTTGGGGTTTCGTTTCAGACCCTCACAGAGGATTCACCATCATGTTCTGTGCATGGAACAGAAATACTCGCTACTCAAATTGCAGCTGGGACAGCCGAGGTATGCTTCCTGAAAGCTGACTGTTGGGAAATAACTGGGGGGGACAGGACAGGACAGCATCTCTAACCCCAGTGACTACAGCCTAGAAGTAACTGGAATCAGTTTTATCAGCAGCAAAGATGCGAGTTTTCACGTGACACATAACGTTAAAGCCAACTCGAACAACCTGTGCAAACGAGCTGATCATTGGAGTTGTGGGTAGCCATCGTTTTCTGCCTGATTATCAGTCCTTTGAATGTAGAAGAAAGCGGTAAGTCTAACAGAGCCGCTGTGTTATTTGTAATCTGGTTAACAGCCACTGCTTTAAATCACACAAATGAAACACTTTCATCAGTGTAGCTTTTGATCTACTTGAGGTAATCCTCAGCCATTCTGACTCTCTTAAGGATTTTATGTAAATAAAGGCAGTGTCGTTTTTTTCATTATAATTGCAAAACGTACACACAGCGCTTCCTCATGTCGTCTCATAAAACGTGGTTTGTGTGAGTGTGTGTGCATGCATGGACATGGGGGGTTTCTATGTAAAGGGAGACTTCTGCCAGGTCATCAATGCTTAGCGCTTCTGCTCATACCCTCCCACCCCCAAAAAACATTTAAAGAGCCAAACTGTTTATGAAATGTTCATGTGAGGAAGGTTTATCTTAGTTACCTACTAAATGTCTGTGGAACTACATTTACTTTGAGGATCACCTGTTTTGTTACTTTGTCATCTTGTAAACATGTCTGTATATATTTAAGATGTTTTAAGTTAAGCAGTGAGGTTTTGTTTTGGAAGTATATTAATGCCTTCTACATATCAGGTACATGACGATTCTCTGTTTCTCTTTCAATGACAGTAAAACATTAAAACATGAACAAATTCTCTGCCTGTATGTTCCATTTCCTGTCATACATCCACGGTGAATAAATAACAGATTGGTCTGAGCTCAGAAATAACAACAATGCCAAACGGGCCTCTCACTTTGCACAGGCCTGGTGACAACACGGCAGGTGCCGGCTCCTTTTTCCTGTTCGTCTGCAGAAGCCATGTGTGATTGGTCAGGGAATGCAACACACACACACACACACCACACACACACCCCCACACACACACACGGCAGGCATGTCACCGTTTGCCTGTAATGTGTCACAGCATAGGAAACTCAAAACATGGAATGGATTTATGGAATTGCATTTCAAGCAGCCTCTGGGGTGTCAAAGAATTATAATTAGGCCACTAAGGACAAATGCATTTTCCCTGACATAATTAATAAAGTTCTGTAGATAAATAGTGTATCAGGTGTAGTTTCAGGAACATCACAAATTCCTCTTTGATTTTTTTTTTTACATTCTGATTGCTTAAGTAAAATGAAAACACAATATGATAGAAGGCAACAAGTTACCTGATGATTACGTGTGAACCGTATGATTTTAATACACTGCATTTGAAACAGCATGGCTGAATTATAACACTTAGATTTAGACAAAATAGAAAAAAATATATATTTTTATTTCTGCTTGTAAAATGAATGGCCTTGTGAGCGTCAAGTTAGCATTGACTACATTTTGCAAAACATTATCAATACTTCATGTGACAACCCAACTCCCATTCCAAACAACATGACTAACAGTTGTCTTTGAGAATTCCCATTTTTGTCTGAAGAAATTCAGGGCTCCCGACCGAAAACAACCAATCAGAGCCAGGATGAGGGTCTCAGTGCTGACGATCAACATCATGAATGCGCTGATAAATACGCTAATGGTGGAAAAGAAACAGATACAGCTAACACTATGTAAGGTGTCGGCTTATGAGAAAAGTTGCTTACATGGAGTTTTTGGTAAGTTGCATTGCTGCACCAGCAGGAACAGTCCAGTCACTGGACACCCCTCACTTCTCAGTTAATGTGAGTAGATTTCCAGTTAACAAAACAAAATGTTTGTTTTTACCCTAGAGTTTGAAGAACATCGCGCACCTTAAAACAGCTGCTGTATGTCTGAGTTTTGTTTATACGAGTTATGCTGCTCATAAAAGTCTAAGAAACTGACAATTTGATTTCTGTGTATGTTTAGATACAAGAGAGAGAGAAATGATGCCACGTTCAAGCCAGAACAAATTATTCACAGCCAAGTCTTCATCAGCTGACACTACTTTATTTGTGAGCCAATATGCAGAGAGAAAAAGTTGTGCGTATTATCAGTTACATGTGTATTCTCACATAAATAACAGCCTAACACGTCCGTAAGCGGTTTCACATCACTGCCAGCTCCAATATCAGAGCTGTGTTGGTGGAAAATTTCAGCCCTGATGCGAACCCACCCCCACCGGGGGAGGAGTGTGTAAGGTTTTAATTTTGATCTATTTGTGATTATAAATACAATCTAATTATTTGCAGTACTGTGAAAAAGTATTTGTCCTTACCTTTTTTCAAAGTACTCTCTTTTTTTTCCAACTTGAATGTTTCAGATCATCATAAAAAATAATAAAAAAAATAAAAATCCAACAGTAAATACAAAAAGCAGTTTTCAAATGATTTCCATTATTAAGGGGAAGAGTAACCCAAATCCACCTGGCCCAGTTTAAAGGTAATGTTCTTATTTGTTAAATGGTGATTAAATTTTTGTTCAATTCCTCTATCTTTATTTCTTCCAGACTTGAAGAATCTCTTAAATAGAATCTGTCTGACAACAAGATAAAGAATCAAAGTTATAAAAAAGTAGGTCAATTCTACCAATTGGCTTTGGTCAATCAAAAGTTCAAGAACGCTGGAGAAACAAAATCAGTGGCATTAGTCAGGCTTGACCTAAACAAAACACAGGCCTGACATTTCCCATAAGACACTTTCATAAGCCCCAAGACTTTAATGAAATATTGTATGAGCTGTAAAAGGCAAAAGTGGAACTTTTTGGAATGTATGAAGTTCTGCTTTGCTGCTTCAGGTCCTGGACAACATGTTGTATTTGACTGAACCTGGAATTAGACTCTCAAACTAAAAATACTGTAAGAGAACATCCAGCTACCAGGTGATCTTAAGTTCAAGCATACTTGTACAATGATCCAAAGTACACCAATAAAAACAATTTTGAAAAGAAAGCTGTGCCAAAATTCCACCACAGTCATTTTAAAATTCATTGCCAAATTTCAATTTTCCACTCATTACATTTTCTTACAGGGCCAGGAATCCTTGGTCTTTTCTCCCATTCATTAATGGAATCATTTTTTGAGAAATGCTTTCTATATTTCCTGATCTGATTTTGGGAAACGCAGGTAAAACAAATTATGTCTGTCAGACATTATTTTGTGTAACCTACCCTCATGTAGGACCGTTTTCTACATTTCTCTAAATTATTAAATACATTTAATCTAACAATGCTCTCCTGTACTGAATGAAGATTTCTGATATATTGGTTAAACATCATACCCTGTTTATTGGGGTCACATTTTTTTCTCTGTGTGTTCCGCCACATGCTGTGCAAGCTTTGTGGCACACTGGAAAGACTTGTCACACTCTACACAGACAAAGATCCTGCCGGCACAGGTTTGCTCCTGGTGGAGCTTCAGCTGCGTGAGGTGGCTGAAGTTCTTGCCACAGCCCGTGCAGCCATACGGCTTCTGGTTATTGTGAATGAACTGGTGGCGAACCAGACGGGAGGCCATGGCGAACGCCACGCCACACTCTCCACACTTATGAGGCCGCACTCCACTGTGAATGGCTTTGTGCTCCGTTAGATTGGAGGACTTTGTGAAGCACTTGGAGCACACGGAGCAAACAAACGGACGCACTCCCATGTGGACCTTCTGGTGCTCGGCCATACGGCTGGCTAGAGCGAATGCTTTGCCGCAGTCTGGACAGGAGAAGGGCCTTTCTCCAAGGTGCTTGCGCTCATGGCGCTTCAGGGAGAGAGGTTTGTTGAAGGTCTTGCCGCAGTGCGTGCATGGGAAAGGCTTGTTGTTGGTGTGCATGTTCCGCTCGTGCTTCCTCAGGTCGGAGGAGCGGATAAAATCCTTGCCGCATGTGTCACAGATGTAGGGCTTCTCGCCGGTGTGTGTGCGGATGTGCTTGCGGTAATCTGAGGACCAGATGTATGTTTTGTCACAGAAGGGACAGTGATAGGGCCTTTCCCCAGTATGCAGACGCTTGTGCTGTTGCAGAGTGCCCTGATGTGAGTAAGCCTTGCCACATATGTCACACACATGTGGCTTGAGGCCAGAGTGTGTTTGCAAGTGGCTCTGGAGGTTGCAGAGTTTCTTGAAAGCCCAGTGGCAGTGTGTGCATTTGAAAGGTCGGTCTTCAGTGTCCACTGCACTTCGTCTTTTCATTGCAGCCAAAAGTCGTGGAGCTTTATCGTCTTTACATTTTTTAGGTGAATTATTTGCCGACTGGGTTTTTCTGAGTCTCTTTTTGGTCCCTTTTCCATCCTCACTAGGAGAGTATTCCTCAGGATCTAGCTCTTTCAGATTAGCTGTCCTCAGTTGGTCTGAGTCCTTGTTTTGTTTTGTTACGTGTTGGACAGAGTTTATCTCCTTCTCCTTTAAAGCATCTGCCAAACCATTATGTTTGTTTTTGGTCTCAGCATGTTTGGAACGTGGTGCCATGGCAACCCTGTGGACTTGCTTCCCGGACATCTTTACATCTTCTGCTGGTGAAAGTTCAGAAAACCTCTCCACAAGACACCAGTTTGGTGTTTGAGGATTTAGATAAAGAACTCCATTGTCTTTGCTGTCAGCAAGCAAATCTTCACCAGCACACACACTGTGAAATGAAGAGTTTGTCTTCACATTGTCAGGGTTATTTACAGTGTGTCCATCAGATGGATTTACACAAGGTCTCACTTGACATTTTCTTCTGCTCCTTTTCACAGCAGCTGTTCGTTCAGACATCTGTAACATCAGTGAAGATTTTGTTTTACCACTGATGCCTTGCTCACCAGTTTTGAACATGCAAGAGTGTCTTGGAAGCATCCAACAGCACATAGATCACATTGATCACTGAGACTTTTAACCAAAACCTTAGCTTGTAAAATTGTGGATATTTCTATAAAATCAAAATGCAGATATATTTATGTACATATTTATATCAATTTAAAGACTGAAGCATGCCTTACACTGCGTTTTCACTCCAAGCAGGCCAGGTCCAGGAGATGCCACAGAGATATACTGGCTCCTGGTCTTGAATAACTCAGGGAAAGATGTTCTTACAGGCGGAGTTTGGCAGGAGTCGTCTGTGGGTCAGCATCTATCCTGCAAGTCAGCAGCAAAGGGGATATCTTCGCAGCCAAGCTCCCCTTACCCACCACTTACTTAGTTTACCAGCTGTTTGCAAAGGGTGTGAAATAAGCTACACATATGGTCAGACTCAGAGAAGGTGAACATATAGCAAGGCTGGCAGCATTCTGTTTATGCTGTTGTTTTCTGGAGTTTAGGGCTGTAAACAAATAATTTTACAACTTACACAAGTATAAACCGATAATTATTGTGAAATCACATTCTGAAAATGCAATACTTTAGTTTGTTGCATCCTTGCCTACATATTCTACCCTGCCTCACCATGGTGGTCACAGAGGTCACTTTCCATCAATTAAGAAAATGTACATTTGACCACCTTACTACTGGTAAGTTGACCGGTTGTTAGGGTCAACTTAGCTGGTTGCAAAACTACAAAGCCACATCAAGTCCATATGCCAAAATTCAGTAAAGGATCATATGGACAATAAAGTGCACAAAACAGATATTTGAGGATGTCAGAAAGAATATAAAGATATATGCAGTATTGCTGAGCATCAGATTTAATGTGTTCTGGAAGTTTGGTGTGAATCTGACATCAGCAAATTTCATACATTTGCCTTTCATGGCAAGAAATCCCTGGACAAAAGTTCGCAAACAGTGAATTTTGATTCTCCAACCTAATTTGAGAACTGAGACAACTTTGAGAAAGGGAGTTTTTGTGTAACAAGTGTAAAGATGGTGGTTTTTATCCATTACTGCTTGTAAATTTACAGCACACCTTCAGTAGATGCTTTTGTTACACCTGACAATGTAAACACAGCCAGGTACTGATTTTCACAGTTCTAGATGATACTTTTAAATGAGATTTAACTTAGGGGGCGCTGTTGCGTTGTTTTGCCAAACTACTTGCTAATGAATTTGAAGCTACTTGCTAATGAGAGGGAGCCTCTCAGACCTCAGTCTGATCATTGGTCTCAATTTGTTCATATTTTATTAGAGTTAACAGGTCGAAATGAAAATGAATACGAATGCAGACATATTACAACTTCTCCCCAAAATAACATTTAATAGGTCAAATTATCCATAATATTTCAACATTTGTTTCTATAACTAATGACAAGGCTTACTGTCAAGATGAATAAGACAACTGCTTGATCTGCCACTGAATGTTCACTTCAGTTGTGGTACTTTGGGTTTTTAATTATATTGATTCTCTTGTTATATTTGGCCAGACTGACGATGACTATTATTATTGTTAGACTGAATATACTGCACCATTGCTATTATAAATATGTCATAAGTTGTGGTGTGAGGTGTTGAGGCTGCAGGCAGTAGACCCAGGATGTGATTTAATGATGAGAAAACAAGCACAAATGTAATACAAAGTCCAAATCCCAGGCAGCACTGCTGAGCAGAAAACCAGGGCTCAACACAGATAGCAAGCAGGGAAACCGAAAAGACTGAAAACACATCTGACAGACGCCAAAATGAGACGAGGAACAAAGGACACAGCTGGGGTTAAACACACAAGAGGTAATCAGGGAACCAAACACACCTGGGAATGAGACACATCTGGGAAACAACCAAGGGGAAGACAGGACAACACGGAGACTCCGGGACACAGAAAACTCAAAATGAACACACAGCAAAACATAACATAATAATAATAATATTACATTTTATTATTTGTTGTATGCTCAGATTGTTGTGAGCATACCACTGTAAGCATACCACTGTAAGCACCATAAGATCCAGCAAAGTTTTGAAAATCACAACTATATTTTGAGATGACCATGTTTTAGAAGAACAGCCACTAGATGGCACCACTGACTCGTTCTTTTTCCAAGCCCATCAGAAACAAAAGAGTGGAAAATCACTGGTTGAACAGGAACAAACAAAAGAGAAACGTTACATATCTGTCTTAAATATTCCTGATTGTTGGCTTGTGGTCTGTTTAAGAACAGAACTTTCTCTGTCGTTGATAAAGAAAATTTTAAAATTCCAACTCTGGCACATATGTCTGTTTTGTTATGGAAAACACTTCATCTGGCTAAAACATGAAAGCCTGAGTTGCAGGTAACTTATTTTTTCGTTCATGAAAGGCACATCTTAAATGCTATTCCAATATCCATTTTGGTAGCATGCATGATATAAAGTTATCAAAACTGATGAGTGTTGAATTTTGACCCTGACAAACACGCACTGAACAACACAATCAACTTGACTCTGGAGTCACCTGCGAATGTATTACAAGCCAAAGACTCAAAATTACTGTTTACATTTGCGAATTTATGGAAAATCAATAAAAAATCAGCCAAGATATCAGGGAGACAGTGGTGGACTTCACAAATCTGATGGAAATATTGGTATGGTGCTCACCAAAATGAGCACAATACCAATCAGGAAGAAAATAGATTCCAAGATATAGATTCCAAAAAGAACAAGACTTTACGAAGATATTGGCTGAAGCTACGAAAGTGTCATTATGAGTGAATTGGTTTATGGGCCAACATGGGCTGAAAGGCCAAAGAAAGAAGCCGTTACTTCAAACACAACAACAGAAAAACTTATTATAGTTTGCAAATACACTCCAGGACAAAGATCTAAATTGTTGGAGACATGTCCTGTGGTCTAATGAAAGTAAAATAAAAGGAAAAATGTAAAACTGAACAGGGTTGATGCAGAGGATGGCCTGTTGTTCGGCCTATTGGGGGTAAGGCTGCATCATGGCACTCCCATGTTTTGTCGCAGGGTGAAAGGCAAACAGGTGTCATGAAGAAACTGTAAAAACATTGACACATCATCTCAAGTCTGGAGGTTATAGTTCTGGTACAAATCGGTCTGCCGAATGGACAGTAACCAAGGATACTGAGAAAATACTTATAGCTTAAGAAGAAAACAGAAAAAATCAGTGGTTGAACGGGTGTGTGTGAGCGATTACTGCAGTTCTGTCAAGAGGAACGAGCCAGAATTCCAGCAAATCACTGCAAACACATTGTGGAAGGAAACCCACAAGTTTAAACTGTTCTCCTAGCAAATGATGAGAAAATGTATGAAAACTCATGAGCTAAAGGAAAGTTTGATAAATTCTCTAAAAATAATATTTCTCTAATTTTTTCTGACAGAATTAATTTGCTAATACTATCAGATGTAAAATAGGAAAAATTTGGACAGATTTAACTGTAAAAAACAAACAAACAAACAAAAAACAGCCATGTTGTTTTTTAACTGTATATCGTAGGAGTCTTCAGCTCCACTCCTCAAGGACCTGAAGCCTGTTGTGTGTTGGATGAAGTGTCCCTCATCCAACACACTTGAAAAACATGTCTGAATTACCTTCTCGGTATCCTGCTAACTACCTAATTATTTGACCCAGGTCTGCTGAAGGACAATGGCCGCCAGAGTAGCTCAATGATCTGCCTTCAAGTTGGCGAGTAGATGTTCTCAGCTCCTCTACTAGAAATGTCAAACAATGTTCCTCTGCAGCTGTGTTTGGAACATTTCATGAATCAGTCACAAGTAACAGGAATGCTTATATTGGTTTGGGAAAAATTGAAAAGATTTTTATGATGTGGGTTATGACCTGAACTTTGACCTCAATAAAAGTCTTGAATGAAATTCAGGCTTTCCTTGTGTTCGGCCTCCCCATCAAAAGAAGTGAATAATGCTTTATGGCAGAAGAGAGGTAAACAGTTGGAGAGGGAGTTTTCTTTTCGGTAACACAACTGGAAGCTGCCACAACAAAGCTGGATGTTACTTCGGTTCCTCAGAATGACGTTAAACGTTGAACTTAGGTGCCGAAGCTGAAACAACAACTGGCTTAAGGAGCATGACCCAGGAAGTCCCCATTGGGACATGAAAGATTTCATCAGATTTCTCCCAGGATATCAGTAAGAAATCCTTTTCAATTATAGCAGAGAAGAGAAACAAGATTAAAAGAAATCCAAAGTCTATTTCTATCCAGTCACTTTGATTTAAGTAAAATCCCAGCACTCCTAAAGTTGGATGTGAATGAGTTTTCCTTTTCATCAGTGGTGACAAGCTTAAACAGAGAAAGTGCTGAGTCACTCCTTGGTTTCTTCGATTTCACGGAGGAGTAGACGACTTTAATTGACAACATACGGGATCTGGGAAGTTTCCCCTAGCTTCCTCTCCCTTTTCTCAGAAAGTCGATGCTTTCGCCCGCTTGCTCAACTTATTCTCCTAAGGGCATCTAATCATGCCATCCATGCTGTGACACATGCCCAAAAAGCTTTCCAACATTCCTCTTTGTTTTCTTCTGAAGCAGATTTTTTACATTTGAAACAGAATCAAATGAGTTTTTCATTTGCATTAAAGGCTTCCTTGTTGGCGAGGTTTATGGAGGTTTTTGCATCTTTAGCAGAAAGATTTTGGTGCATATTGCACAACAAGAAGCTTCTAATGTGGATTAGAAAAAGTCGACAGTGTGTCCAATGCACTCATTCAAAATATACCGACTTGTGTGTTTAGAGCTGATACTGTAGTGTTTCATCTTTCACAAGGTTTGTTTCTGTATGACAGCAGCAAGATCTAAACTTGATCAAATCTTTTTCAGCTTTATTTTTGGCTTGGTTTGCCACCTGACAATTTGATTTAACAATATGTAAAGGTGACAGCATTTCATGTGGGCGGCATTAAAAGGCTGTCGGCATGTAGCTGTACAAAACCATTACGGTCTGCATGTTCTGTAACGTGTTTGAGTCCAGATTTGAAGCAGAATTCATTCAGTCAGGTAAAAGTCTGCAAGTGGAAAAGAAGTGAAAGAACGAGGTTAGAAGACAGGGTGATTCCCGATAAACTCCTTCCAAGCAAAACTTTACTGCTGGCAGTTAGTGGATCTCCTGGTGTCACAATCATAAACCTGGTCAAACCAGCTTTAAGACTTTGCCAGATGGTATAACTAAAGTGTGTCTCACTTGTTTTCTTAAGCCCCTTCAACGCTTAACCTTTGT